AGGTTTCCGACTTCTCAATTTCAATTTGATCAAGTTAGGGTTTTAATTCAATCTTTATGAATTTCGTCCAATTATGATTTATTGCTGTTGATTAAGTTTTCTCATGCATGATTCAATATTAATACATGATATTTAGTCGAAATTACATTGACTCATGCCTAAATAATGAGTTTCAACAATGCACCTATATATGATGAACCCACAAACTATGAATTATGAAAGATTATGCATATCTTATGAAAATGATGTTTATGATGATAGAGTGATTTAGATAAAATTATCAATATGGTTGTGAAAGGATTTCTCACATACGAATATGATCATGAATTGTGAAAGGTAATTCTCACATATGAATTCACATTCGTGAGAGGCTTTCTCACACATGCTTGAATTGCAATTTAAGGAGTTATTTTATGTTTTGATCTTAAGATGTGGATTGGTATTATTCATTTGTCTTTCCTATGTTATATTAATAATTGACTTATCTATTTCGTTGGGATTTAAACTTAGTATCGAGTGGGCTTTGAGGTGGAGGCTCAAATAGGGTAGTCTCTAGGAGCAACCTCTAGTCCCAAACTGCGTGGCCCGTATGGATTGTCTTAAATGACCTAGATAGTGGATCCACTTTAGCAAAAGATGATATGTATGGATTCTACCTTTATAAGTAGATTCCCCTTCTTTCGGTATGAGGGATATATAGGATTTCATGATATAGCTCTCATGGTCTTATGGTCGGTTAAAGCTAATATCCCACAAAATGACTATGTTTCTTCAAAGATTTTCTTATGTCCTTTATGTTAATGTATTTGCCATATTTCATGATTCACATGTCATTTCTTCTTTAAACTTTTAAATGTACAAATATTGATCATGTCTTACATGTTCTAAGTTATTCATACTACTATGTCTATTTTATGCATGTCGCACCATACTTAGTGCATTTCATGTACTAATGCATACTTGTGCCTACACTGTTTACTAATGTAGGGTTCGACACTCCTACCCCTCACTCTCGTTGCTAGTTGATCTCATTGACGAATCGAAGATCAAGTGTTGGTGAGTACTCCTCATGTTCCGAGGATTATAACACTATTATTGTTTTCTTTACTTCTATTTTCAGACTTCGTATGTGATCTATGGATTATGTTCCAATCACTTTCCTTATGACATAATAGATGGCTTATTCAGACTGTTATCTCCTGTATTCAGATTAGCAAACCAGAAAAAATAAAAGATGAAAAAAAAAAAAAAAACAAAGAACTATCCAAGTCCACCGAACTCATTGTGTGTCCTTAAGAAATTTAATCCCCTCAAGTACCCGAGGTTGCAGATTAATTCCTCCCAAGATAAAACGGATTAACCATTAAATAAGTAGCGGTACCACAAACTTTGATAATTTCAACGAACTCAAAATAACAATAACGAATCACAAACACAAACACGATCGATCGATTTTGTTTTCTAAGAAATGTATGCAAAAGAAGGGAAGAATTCGATGCAGAAAATCAAGAGAAAGCCTCTCTATTTATAGCCAACAAAGGGTAAAGGTCACAACTCTTTGGAAGAAGACAACCTTTCATAAAGGTCACAACACTTTGGAAAAGGGACAACCTTTCAAACTGTCACAACCCTTTAGAAAGAACACAACCTTTCATAAAGGTCACAACCCTTTGCCATAGTTACAACCCTTCAGGAGAGTCACAATCCTTCATTTCATGTTCACACCTTTAAAACCCAACAATCCCCCACATGAATAAGGAATGACTATTGTTAAAACATATGCATGAAAAACTGTGTGATTCGTAAGTAAGGATTGATTGCATCTGGATAAGTGAGTTTCCCTTTAAACTTTCCATAGTGAACATATATCGGATATACTCGGTCAATCGGTAGATTTGATATCTTTGAACCGTCGATCTTTAGTGTCTACCTAGACAACATAAGTCACACAGCCAACCCTTGAACTGTTTTTGGTTCTCATTATTTTGTTCGTTTCAGCCATGAACACGTCTTGGGTTCTAAGTGCATAGAGAACTGGCCTTATCGGATTCTACTTGAAGTGGCTTACACTTCACACTTACATAGGTGATTTCTAAATGTTTTATCCTGTAGATACACTATTTGATTTACCCTATATCAAACTTAGAAACCATTAAAAAGTCCTAATGTCTTTATCCTTGTTACTGAACATTGTCTTATTATGAGAATGGAACATAAAAAATATTTTGACAATGTTGAACCGTCATCAATGACTTTGTTTGATCTCTTTGAACCTAGATCTTGGGATCTCCAGTCTTCTAGGTAGAGTTACTGCCACAATGAGTTGTCCTTGGCCATAGTCCCATTCCCTTTGATAATCTATCAACTCCCTCTCTAGTTAGGCCTTTTATAAGTGGATCCGACACATTATCCATTGACTTTACATAGTCAATTATGATAATTCCACTAGAGATTAGTTATCTAACGATATTATGTCTGCGTCATATATGACAAGACTTTCCGTTATACATCATGTTTCATGCCCTATCGATTGCAAATTAACTTTCATAGTGTATGCATACTGGAGCTAAAAGGTTTGGGCCAAAAAAAATCAAGAAAATTTGAAGTCATTCAACTTCTTCACCGGCCTTATCTAGAGTGATAAACTCAGATTTCATAGTAGAGCGAGCGATACATTTCTGCTTGGCAGATTTCCAAGAGACTACTCCTCCACCAAGAGTAAATACATATACACTCGTGGATTTTACTTCATTTGACCTAGTGATTCAATTTGCATCACTATATTCTTCAAATACTGTTGAATATTAGTTATAATGCAAAGCAATAGTTTTTTTAAGTATGTTTTAAATACTCCAAAACTCTTTTCATTGTCATCCAATGAGTTTGATTGAGATTACTCGTGAACCGACTCAGTTTACTAATAGCACATGCTATATCTGATCGTGTACACTTCATGATATATATCATACTTCTCAATACTCTAGCACAATCCAATTGTGAGTCACTTTTTCCTTCATTCTTTTGAAGTACAAATCTCACATTTATTGGAGTCTTGACAATATTGAAATCCAAATGCTTGAACTTGTCAGGTACATTTTCAATCACATCAGTAACTTCAATGTCTTTCATATCGAAGTTACTTTCTAGCATATGCTTAGTAGCATTTATGTCAGAAATGTCTCCTTTGATGATCAACATGTCATCAACATATAAAAACAATGACCTTGTGATTTGGAGTGTCTTTAATGTAAAAACATTATCACATTCATTAATCTTGAATTCATTTGCCAACATAGTTTTGTCAAACTTCACATGTCATTATTTGGGAGCTTGTTTTTAGTCTACAAAGTGACTTAACAAGTTTACAGACTTTCTTTTCTTTACCAGAACCACAAAGCCCTGGGTTGTCCATGTAAATTTCTTCCTCCAATTTTCCATTTTAAAAAAATATCTTCACATCCATTTTGACGAATTTGAAGGCCATATACCGCAACTAGCACAATCAACATCTGACTTGATGTAATCCTAGTTAGTGGCTATTACGTGTCAAAATAATCAAGGCTTTTTTATTATCTAAAGCGTATGACAACAAGTCTTGCTTTGTATTTTCCAATAGTTTCATCAACTTTCTTTTTCTTTTGTAGATCCACTTTGAACCCAAAGGTTTATTTCTTGGAGGAAGATCAACCAACTCTCAAGTGTGGTTGCTCAAGATTGAACCTATCCTACTATTGACAGCCTCTTTCCAAAAAGAATGAGTCCACAGAATACATATCTTCTTCGATTATATGGACTCATTTTCAAGAAGAAATATTATAAAATCAAACCCGGCGGAAGTAATTTGTCCATTGACATTTACTACACCTCTAAATCTCTTTATTAAGTGCATTCTCCTTTGGTTCTTTCCAAGGCCATTTAGACCCTTCACTTAAATATCCGACGGTTCGGACATATGAATCATAAATCAACATGCTTTACTCATTGTAGCATATCCAATGAACATACATGTTATCTCATGTATTCAGATTAGCAAACCAGAAATAATAAAAGATGAAAAAAAACCAAAGAACTATCCCAATCCACAGAACCCACTGTGTGTCCTTAAAAAATTTAATCCCCTCAAGTACCCGAGGTTGAAGATTAATTCCTCCCAAGATAAAACGGATTAACCATTAAAGAAGTAGCGGTACCTCAAACTTCGATAATTTCAACGAACTCAAAATGACAGCAACGAATCATACACACGGACACGATCGATCGATTTTGTTTTGTAAGAAATGTGTATGCAAAAGAAGGGAAGAATTCGATGCAGAAAATTGAGAGAAAGCCTCTCTATTTATAGCCAACAAAGGGTAAAGGTGACAAATCTTTGGAAAGAAGACAACTTTTCAGAAAGGTCACAACACTTTGGAAAAGGTACAACCTTTCAATTTGTCACAACTCTTTAGAAAGAACACAACCTTTCATAAAGGTCACAACCCTTCAGCATAGTTACAACCCTTCAAGATAGTCACAATCCTTCATTTTCTGTTCACACCTTTAAAACCCAACAGAGACTTACAATTAGACTTTCGCTTTGTCAAAACTCTTTTATGATATAAAACTATGATTTTGAATTCCTTATTTCTATTATCTTGTATAATGTATGCTAAGTGGCTTGGGCAAGGCCCCTTGGGGTCATATATGTCATGTTATGCAAAGGGTGTACCTTGGGTCGTGACATTATCACCAAGAGAAACACATATAATTATATTTAACGAGAAGTAAATTAGTTAATAGTGAATCCACTAGAAAAAAAACTTGAGATTGGTCTCCTGACTTGAATGCCTTCATTAAAGTGATGAACTTTGAAGATATGATTTTCTTATTTGAATTATTTGATTGAGCTTTAAATGACATCAATTTGACTTGGACCTATAATTAAACCAGTCGACATTATATAATAACACAATTTCATATACCTCAAATATTTGGATATTGAATAATGTAGTATTCTTAAGTAATGAATTATGTGAATCTCAATCTACAAATTGCTATACTATGAAGAATTCCTCAATAAGCACAATTAGTTAATGAAGATAACATATAAACATACATATATATTTGATTTAACTAATTTCTTGAGGTTCTCCAAGTTGGGCCTTTGTCTTTGGGGAAACAAGAGTGAATGCCACAGAATGTGAATTTGATCTGATAAAAGTTAAATCCAATCTCTGAAAGGTGGAATCTGACCTTGTTCGACGATGTAAATTAGGACGTTTATCCACAACCTCGATATCCCACAAGACTTTTTCGTGTTTTCTATTAGTATTAGGAGCCTCGTGTGTAATTGAATTTCTCCATGGTGGTAATCCTCCGTTTGGTTGAAGGAATGTTCCCCAAAATGATTTGAGACGTACCTGAAATCCATCCCTTACGGCTTCCCATTCCACGGATGGGTAATTCTTTTCTGGAAGATCTGCTTGGATTACTTTCTTTCCAATAACACCTGGAATGAATGGTGTGTTGGTAGCGGTTAGATATTTTCCATAACAACTCTTGAGACGAAACGCGTCTTCTCTTCCCTCAACAAATTCAACATTCCAAATTGAATCTTTATTAGATCCTTTGCGTCTTTGTGTTACACTATCTTTGTCATCCATCGCTATTAGGTACTTGTCTTTTCGATTTCTAAGCCGAACGCTCTCCGCCCTTTGGAATAGTTCCATTTTTATCAATACCTAATTAATTCGTTCCAATTCATATGAGATAATTAAAGATAACGAAGTACATATATATGTATGGAAAAAATAAAAGGAACCATTGATTATATGAAATGATATTTGTTGCATACATAAAATATATTGATATGCATACCTGAGTTAAATTAATCGATAAATAAGGGTTTTGATGAAGAGAGAAAACATGCGATTTGACAGATCTTGAAAGATAACTCATATATATGTTAAATGTGATGTATGTATGTTTCAAATAGAATCTCAATTATCTTGACTCAATGGTTAATATCTTCATATTTATTTACCAACTAATTTGCGTGTATTTCGATTCTTAGTACAATTTTGTTGAATTACTAAAAATATTTTATGTAAAAAGGTATAAGTAGAAGTTCTTGTAATAAATTAAATATAATCGTTTAAGTTAATGACTTGACAATTTACGCTCAATCTAATATATTACTCCATATATTATCGAACCTGAACCTGCAAATGTAAGGAATCAAATAGTTAGTAATTAACATCAACTCTAATTACGTAATTTTTTATTTATTTAGAATATAACGTAATCCCCTGCCCAAAATTAATAAGTTGAAATTTAATATCAAACTATTATTATTTTAATTAGTATATCAAAATAAATCTTATTACTAAAACATGGCAGTATTATCTACTGTATAATCTAGTAATTCAAATAACATGTTAAAGGATTACAAAAATAATGCACTTTGTATGTAATATTGAATTAAGAAGAAAAAAACAATTCAAATGTAAGTTTAATTTTAAGATAACATCAAACTTTGTTACCAAATAAAACTTCCTCATATAATTCACCACTAAATAACAATATTCTTTCTAGCTACTTGTGATCTTTTCAATACTTTTTGTGTATTTAATTGTAGTTTGGTCTTTATTATATTTTTTTAGTTGCATTTTGTGTCTTTCTTGACTAATGTGAATGCTTCATCCACGTCATGTGTTATCTATAATTTTTTTCATCTTAAAATGGATAATAATTATGCAAGTCTTTCTTTTTAGGAAACTAAGCAAATACCATAAAAGCAAAATAATTATAAATATATATCTCTTTATATTCATACTCTACTAAATAATTATATTATATACCTTCAACTTTTTTTCGTTTAACTGATATTAAATCAATATCATATACTGTATTGATATCATTAAGACTGATACTTTCACTTAATTGATACTAAATCAATATATATATATATATATATATATATATATATATATATTGTATTGATATTTTTAAGGTTTTTTTGTTCAATAATTACTCTTTAGTCAGTAATGTATATATTTTTGTTACATGTTTCTTATTCCTTTAGTATGTTGGACTTCAAAGCTTCATGAGTGTTGTCCCCTAGAATAATTAAGTTGCACTATCATTGGTGCAGTTACAATTGCTTTGGATTCTTCTCTATTATAATAATAATCACATAAAGAAATTTATGGCATTTCTTTTATTGTGATAATACTATACAAAAAGTTTTTTAAAACGGTGTTTTCCAGATATTTTTTAATTGCTATAGCGAGATGTCATACATAAGGAATATATTCTGAAAATTATTGACAAAGAAATTTGACCGTTATAATAAAATTAGTCTCTGAAAACGTGTGTTGCACGCGTGTGTTCTAATAAAATTAAACACAATGAAAAAAATACTTTTCCCTTTTGCATAACAAACAAAAAAATGTGATCTCATAGAATTTACACAAATATGAAAAAGCTTCACAATATTATGATTAAAATAAGAATCAGAAGTGAACTAAAAATATTTCCATAAAACCTTTGTTAGAAAGAAGCTGCGACCATGTAATTGTAAGATTAAATACTTTTAGGATCTTGAACACGATAATCTTACATACAGATTGTTAGGGGCACATATCTGATGCGGAAGACATCATTACAGAGAGAAGCGGAAGCGTTAGTCGTACTCCTTGCCCTAACTTTATGTTACCACAACCGTCAACGACGGAATCAATGTAGAGAATATGTGGTAACCCTAATGGGTGGAGGAAGGACCAATTTATAGAGGTTATGACTTAATCTGGTACGCCCATCATGTAACCAATGTACAGACGAGATCTATACCTTATTAAATATTATTTATGGTATTACTTGGATTACAAGTAAACTTAGGTCATAAGTAAGAAATACTTAATAATAATTTTTACATTCTCCCACTTGGCCCAATGACCATATAACATTAATATTTCATAAACATTAGTTGTGCGTATAATAAATCTCTTCTATAATGTCCATCATACATACCACAATATAACAAACTACTAATGCGAGTTATGACGGTTGTACATTAATTTTAAGCTACATACTTCCTTCCATATACTACTACATTAGCAACTTATCATACTAGGTTCATAAGCTATAAAAACATATAACATTATGGTCCACAATAATGTCTCATAGAGACTTATCTTGTAATATCTCAAAACAATAATGTATACACCATTATGAGAAACAAGAAATTCATTAATGTATATCATAAACACATAATATGAGCTCAAAGTGTAAAAACATCATAAATGTATCAATCATAAGTACAACCAAGAACCATTATTTGAACATGTTCTTTAAATGTCTTTGGTTGTAAGCCTTTTGTTAACGGATCTGCAATCATGAGATCAGTTCTAATATTCTCAAGTAACACTCTTTGTTTCTGAACTTCTTCCTTAACAATAAAGTATTTTAATTCCATATGTTTTGGCACATTTGGAGTACTTATTGTTCTTGGAGAACAATATTGTTGCAACATTATCACAATAAATTTTCAGCGACTTGGTAATGGTGTCGACAACCCCAAGTCCTGAAATGAAGTTCTGCAGCCATAATGCATGAATTGTGGCTTCATAACATGCCACAAACTTTCTTTGCAGTGTTTTCATTAATCCATTCCAGGATTACTTTGATATCTTCCTAACATTCCGACCGCAAAACTAATATCCGGTCTTGTGCAAGTTTGAACATACATCAAACTTTCAACAATAGAAGATGAAGGAATTGATTTCATTTCTTTTCGTTCTACATCATTCTTTGGGCATTGCATGAGATTAAATGTGTCCCATTTTTTTGAATAGGAACTATTCTTAATTGCTCATGTTAAATATCTCTAGAACTCTTTCGATATAACCTTTTTGAGACAGTCCCAATAATCATTGTGATCTATCACGAAATATTTTTATCCCTATCACATAGGATGCCTCACCCATATCTTTCATTTCAAAGTTCATAGAGAGAAAGTCTTTTATCTCACGCAATTTGCCTAAATCATTAACAACAAGTAAAATGTCATCAATATACATGACTAAAAATATAAACGTACTCCCACTGATCTTTTGGTATATGCACCGATCAACGGTAATTTCCTTAAATCCAAAAGATATTATGGTATCATTAAACTTTATATACCATTATCGTGAGGCTTGTTGGAGTCCATATATTGACTTCTTTAGCTTACACACCATTTGATCTTTACCTTTAATTTTGAAACGCTCTGGTTGGTCCATATAAACATCCTCCTCGAGGTCTCCATTAAGAAAGGCAGTTTTCACATCCATTTGATGTAACTCTAAATCATAATGAGCTACCAAAGCCAAAACAATTCTTAATGAGTCTTTGAGACCGGTGAAAAGGTCTCTTTATAATCAATGCCTCCTTTTGAGTGTATCACTTGGCAACAAGTCTGGCTTTATATCGTTCAATAATACCATTAGAACCGCGTTTGGTCTTGAAGACCCATCTACATCCGATTCTTTTAGAACTTTCTGGTAATTGAACAAGATCCCAAACTTGTTGTATTCCATGGATTTTAACTCTTCATTCATGGCATCAATCCATTTATCAGACTCAGTGCTTTCTATGGCCTGTGAAAATGAAACCAGATCTTTATTAATTTCAATGTCAAAATCCGAATCTTGCAAATAAATCACATAATCATCTTAAATGGCCGATTTTCTTTCTCTTTGAGATTTTCTTAATGGCACTGTTTGTGGTTCATTTGCGTCAGATACTTGTGAGTTAGTTCCTTCTTGAAGTGTTTCACCCAAATATTGTTCAACATTGTTAAAGTGCTCTTCAACAAGAGGAACACCATTTGTTATTGGTGTGGAAGTAGGTACATTCATGGGCAATGAAATATTTACCCTTACCTCATTGACTTTCACACTTTGTCGTTCAACACTCCTACTAACTTCACCATTCTTAATGAATTTTGCATTACCGGTTCCAACAATTCTCGAACTATGATTTGGACAGTAAAACCTATACCCTTTAGATTTCTCTGGATAGCCAATAAAGTAACCACTTACCGTTCGATAATCTAATTTCTTTTCGTGGATTATAAACTCTAGCTTTCGCTTGACAACCCCAAACATGCAGGTGTCTTAAACTAGGCTTCCTTCCCATCCACAGTTCAAAAGGGGTCTTTGAAACTGCCTTGCCAGGAATTTTATTTAATAAATATACAACAATTTTAAGAGCATACATCCACAATGATTTGGGTAATGAGGAATTACTCATCATACTCCTAACCATATCCATAAGTGTTCGATTACGCCTTTCAGCAACACTATTTTGTTGAGGTGTTCCTGGCATAGTATATTGTTCACATATGCCATCTTCTTCGAGGAATTTTGCAAATGGACCTGGGCATTATCTTGATTCATCATACTTTCCATAACATTCACCACCTCTATCTGACCTAATGATTTTCACTTTTATCTTATTGTCTTTCAACCTCATTAACATATACTTTGTGAGCATTCGCTGCTTCAGATTTTTCTTTCAACAAATAGATAAATCCATAACGTGAAAAATCATCGATAAAGGTGATAAAATATTTTTATCCACAAAAATATGGAACATCAAAGGGTCCGTAAATATCAGTGTGTATAATTACAAGAAGCTGAGTGCTCCTTGTGGCACTTTTCTTGGTATGCTTGGTTTGCTTTCCTTTAATGTAATCCAAGC